CAAGGGGCCAGGGAGATAGCTCAGTAGAATAAGCGCTTGCCTGGCAAGTGCAAGATCCTGAGTTAAATCCCCAGTTCCAAAAAAAAAAAAAAACAAAAAAAGAAAAGAAAGAAATCTAAACAGTATATTGAAAAAGCCAGGGGCCGGTGAGATGGCTCAGTGGACTAAGCACCTGCTTAAGCCAGTGCAGGGACCAGGATGCTATCCCCCATATCGCATCTCACCAGCCCCGCCCCGAGGCGCACTGAGCCAGCAACCGAGACTGGGTGTGGGCGCACACACCTGTAATCCCAGCGCTGGGAAGGCTGAAAACAGGAGGATCACTATGAGTCCGAGCTACATAATGAGACCCTGTACCAAATACATAAGAAAGAAAGCAGTACAAGAAAATGACTACATAAAAATAAAAAGGGGCCAGGGAGATGGCTCAGTAAAATAAGTGCTTGCCTGGCAAGCAAAAGGACCTGAGTTCAATCCCTGGTCCACCAAAACAAACAAACAAAAAAAGAAAAAACACCAAAACTTGAGTAATGAATGTGTCAGTAAAAGATATTTGAAAAAACACCAAACAATCACAGCTATAGGCCCCAATAAAATCCTGTTTTTAAAATACATAAAAATAAAAAACCTGTGTTTGGCAAAGAAAATTCCATAAAGAAATGACAAAGCAAGGGAAAGAGTATGATAGAAGAAGGGGCATAAACATAGGTTAACATGCATGGCACATACATGTACACATACGTATTGCACAAATGGCCTTAGGCCTAAGTCATGCCACTCATAAGGAAAAATCCAAGTCAAGGCTGGGGGTCATCTAAAAGCTTGGCAAGACAGGAGGCTTTGCTGGCATGCACTGCTGGGGCAAGAAAGCCGACGAGCGCCACCTCGGGAGGGGATGTGCCAACATCCAACAGAGCCCAGTGTGCAGTGCCTTTTGTCCCGGGAATCGAAATCTACTCCAAGGACTTTACCTTGAACACACACACACACACACACACACACACACACACACCCCTCCACATGTATACAAATGCACCTGTCAAAGATTATTCCCTGCAATGTTAAGTGCAGTAACTGCAAAATATTGAAAACATGTCCAAAGGGACAGCAATGGAAAAGTAAATGATGGGAGTGCACACAGTGGGGCCGGGATGAGGAGGTCGGCTGGGCATGGAAGGGAGAGAGCCGGGATACACTGGGATGCAAAAATAAGGGCCGTAGAGGGACTACAGAAGGCTGCCTCTTGGAGAAGGAGGAGCATTTACTGAAACAAATACATGGTGTTTGCAAAGTGAAACCAAGAACAACACCCTAACCAATTAAGTGTCACACCTTTCTGTTTGTTTTTTTTTTTATTTTTGATTTGTTAATCTTTTATGTACTCAACATTAAAAATAATAGAAACCAACCAGAGTAGAAGAAAAAACCCTGAAATGTAACTCAAAGAAAAGCAGATGACTATGTTTCAAATGCACATGAGCTTTACTTTTTATAACTCATTTTTATACTTTTCTGCTGGATGGTTAAGAGCAAGATAGAGCAAGACCTATATAACAAGAAATGTAACTTTTATATCTGACAAGGTCAGTCAAATCCCCTCCGGACTTACCCTGATACCCTGTACCACAGTTTGGCTCAAGTCAACAACTTCTGACATTGCTAGTCCTGTGGATAACCCACTACTGTTATGGACTACTGGACTATATTGGATTACTTTGCTTAATTCATGCACCTACAATACTTAAATGGCAATGGAATATCCATCTCTGACAAAAGTGAACAAAAAGGGGGATATAAATGAAGGACCACTTTGTAGTGAAATATATATATTTTAGGATAGAAATACAGCTACTTTCTGTTAATTCAATGAGAAGAAAGATTTGTACTAATAGTGCTTAGACAGGATATCATGTCTGCATCTCATACTATAAATAACTACTACAAAGACAGCAATATGCAAAATGTATTTAATTATTGTAACTGTCCTACTGACCTGTTTTGAAACTGTCTCATTGCTATTTGTTTCTCAATAAAATTAATTTAAATAAATAAATAAAAACATGCATATGAGCATGCTGAAGGTGAGGGAGAACCCCCCCAAAGTAAGAATATATTTTGATTAACAACAATAACAAAAACAGAGAACTCAAGACTAGGTCTGCAGTATGCTGTTTGTTTTCATTTCTGTTTTGTGTTAACAGATTTTTTGTTTGTTTGTTTCTTTGTTTTGCTTCACAATTCTGAAACTACTTTGGGCTTTTTCTGTAATTCAGAAAATCAGTAATTGCATTGCAAATACTGGAAGCCACGTGCCTCACTGACACGGGGACTTACAGAAATGGACAGGGGACAGTGGGTGTGGAGTTCTGGGTTAGCACTGGAGGAACCAACATGGCCAGAAGTCAGGGGCCATCACGCATTGTCTGTAAAGGGCCAGGTGATAACTAATGCTCTCGCAGCAGCACAAAAGCAGGCTCCGACAGTGTAGAAACCGAAGAGCATGGCAGTGTTCCGATAAGACTTTACTGCGCACCCCGAAATTTGAAGTTCATATAACCTGCCTGTGCTGTGACAGATTAGGTTAAACTCTTAAGCACTTAAAGGTGTCAGTTGCTAAGTTAGTTCATAGGCTATGCAGAAGCAGGGAAAGGCCACGAATGGGACACCGTTTACAATCCCTGTTGATTGGTTGATAGCAAATATGATGCAAGGTGGTGATTGGAACATCCACGTCTATTGGATGTGCAGGAGTTCTTTGTAGTCTTCATGCAGCTTTTCTAAGATCTGACCTTGATTGCAAAAAGAACTCAATGCTGTCCATAGCCACTGCTAGGAAAGAACAGCAGCCATCAGACCGCGGCCTCAGAAGCAAGCATCTGGCTTTCTGTAACTGCCACCTGTATCTGTCGTGTGCCATGCACCAGGAGTAGGAGCTCCCGCCCATTCTGGGCACTTGCCAGCCCCGAGCAGGGGACCATCGCATCCCAGCGTCACTTTGTCTTGTTCGTCCCTGCTCGTCATCACTCTCGGGGAGTGCTGGTCATCAAGCTGGTAATCTCTGTATGACCTTGTAACTTTCTAGAGCCTGGGGACTTTCGGTCTGCTACATTTAAGTAGATTAAATAAATGGTGCTTGTCAGAAAGTGCCCTATGGGCTTGGAAGGCTGGGACAGAGCCCCTCTGCTGTCCTCAGTGTGCTGTATTGAAATTCAGTTCCCCGGCACGTCCACCGCACTCATCCACTAGCCATCATCCAGTGACAACTCTGGGGAGCACTGACACAGGGTCCCTTAAAATGCTACAACAAGCCACTACATCGTTTTTTACTTTAAAATCCTTTGTACCAGAAGAGTAAGTGGCTTGCAAGAAAGTCCTCAGCTGTATTAAACTAGAAGTTACTCCACCACCCTTTACTGGTTTAATTCCAACAAAATCAAATTCTTGCTGGTTCATCAGATAAGTAAAGCTGTACTTGATCCCTATTGAGAATGAAGACGAGGGTGGCACAGCTGAAATCTAGGGGATGCTGACTCTGTGTCTGGATTCATGCCAAATGTCATCCACCTTAAAAAGACTTTTGTTGGTAAATGTTTATCATAGAATGAAGTGCAGCCCTTGCACACAGGGGCACGAGTGCTTAGCGCATCCTGATCCTTTCGGCTTCCCTCCTCCCTTCTGTCTTTTGCCATCCCCAGGTCCCTGCCCGTCTTCACAGAGTCTGTCTTCCTGCTTCCTACCATCTGTTTTTATTTCGCTCCTAAAAGTATTTATATTTTAGGTTTTTCTTGGAAGACAAACTGCAGCACTTGAGGTCTGGAGCTCATTTATTTTACTTAGCACTGTGGAGTCGGGGTGCACCCGTCTTCCTACAGATGACTCAAATGTACCCTTCCTTATCCTCTTACCCATTTCTTTCTTGTTTAACCCTGCCACACAAACTCTTGCTTTCTTCTTTTGATACTGAGACTTGAACTCATGACCTCGTGCTTGTTAGGCAGGCGCTGTGCCACTGAGCTACATCCCCAGCTTCCACCCAAACTCTGGGGTGCTGTCACTGTCTCCTTTGCATACTTGGGCTTAGCAGCATGAAGTGACAGGGCCAGGTTTTTTCTCTAGGAAACACAGAGCCAGGACCAGCCCTGAGGGCTGGTGCTCGCAGCTCCCCCAACCTAGACAGACAGACAGTACAAAAAAAAAGACACCCAGAAAGAAACCATTTGGCCTCCTGTTGAGGGGGAAAAAGTAAACAGTGCAGGGAGTTTAAGGTCGATAAAGAAGCAGAATGCACAGTGGAAAATCCCTGGCTTTCCCGGCCTGCCCCACCTCCCCAAAGTACTGGAGCTCACCGTGACTCAGACCTTCTGGGCACTGCCAACCTGAACTGTACCCACCCAGGAACCTGCTGGTGGGAACTGCAGGCTGGGAGCGGGGAGGAATCCATGGAAACAGGAAGGTGAAGTTGGCAGCTTGGGCAGCGGATGGGAAGTCGGAGGACAGGGTCGATGGAGCAGTCTGCCCGCGCGATAGGAGTCCCTTCTGCCTCTCTAGCCTGAGCTAAAGCACGCGGACTCCACTGTCACGGTGACTCCATGGCTGCTCTGAGACTAAATTCTGTTTGATCACATGGGAAATGTCATCCATGACATGCGACACGTGATTTTTACCATGCTTTCTTCCTGTGCTGTGTTTTATCTAAGTCACTGAAATAATTTTCTTATTGAGGAAAAACTGTGCTGCACTTTTGTAACCATAATAAACTCTCGAGAGGAATGGTCAGCTCTTAGTGACTGTATGGATCAAATAACGGGGTAGCGAAGTGGTCGCGCCACCTTAACCAGCTTGTAACCCCGTATGCTAATAGTATCCAAGCACCTTAACTTTCTGAAATACGAAAGATGTGGAAATTCAAGAGAAATGAAAGTTCAAACCAGACATAGAAGCTGTATGTGGAATTGTGGACGCGCTGTGCATTCACTTCCTCTCCTTGTGTCCTCTTGCAGGGACTGGTTAAGCATGCTCAGCCCCCCGATTGTTCCCCCCGGCCGTCGGCCCCTGGAGCAACACCTGGACTCCTCCGGAAGCCTGAGCACCCAAGGTGGGAGTGCGGAAAATGCCGTGCGTCACGAAATTAATTTCCTACAAAGAAAACCAGGCACTCTGGGGTGCCGCTACCGTCAGCCAGCCTTCCACACCCAAAGTGAGGTGACCTGTGCTTCATGTTTTAGGGTGACAGGTTCTTTACAGCTAGGCAGAATACAGACAGAAACGGTCTCTGGTCTTCCAAAGGCCAATCCCAGAGAATAATGATTTAAGGCAGAAGAACATGGCTTTGGTATTCGGTTGGCCTTCATCTGAATTCCAGAGCTTCCTTTATCGACTTTGGTTACCTCTCCCGTGAAATAATGCTGACACTAGCCAGTCCCAGCTGCAGAGCGCTAGAGGTCCTGCGCAGGGGGCGCCTCCACGGGGCCCAGCGGGTGCCGCCAGGGGATGGGCTCCCAGAGCGCCTGCTCCCTGTGGCCCGCGCGGTGACGCCTCAGTTCCCGGAGGCTGTGCGCTCCCACAGTGACAACAGGGCTTACGGCGCTGCAGACTGGGCTGTTGGCATCAGGACCAGCGTGGCATCGTAGCGCACACGCTACCTGTACATGGGTGGTGGTGCTGGCTGTGGACGGTGCAGCGCGTCCAAGTATGACGGTACACGATAGCGCTTGATGTAGTGCGCAACCATGCTGCTGGCTCATGTATTTAGAATTAATTTAGAATGATTCTTTTTGTTAGAATATACTCTTTTTACTTCTTTAAAAGCCCAGTTCGCTATAAAACATGGGAGAGAGACCAGCAGCAGCACCTGCGGCCTGTTTACCATGGCCTTGGATGGATCACGAGGTCACAGCACGTGACTGACAGTGCCATGCAGGTTTGCACAGGCCCACTCTGCAATGACAGAGTGACGAAGTCGCCTAACGCTGCACCGCCCAGACCATGTCGCCACCTACATGCGCCTGCAGGCGTTCTCCTCCATGCAGAGATGTAGCCTTTCTGCCAGAGCAGAGGCTGACACTGGGCTTCCAGGTCAGGAGAACGTCAACAGCACGCCTGTGAGACTGTGGATGAGCTGGTCGGGCCTGGCTGGGAGTGAGGAGCTTGGCTGGGGGGACACAGTGGAGGCGAGATGTAAGCAAGCCTTCAGTGACAGCAGAGGAGTTGCGACGGGAGGGTGGTAGCAGTCTCGTGTGTGTAACTGGAGTGACAGATAACCTGAGTGCCCCTCCGCAGGGCAGTTTTCTGGGTTAAATACTAAAGCTAAAAAAGCCGGGGTGGGGCCAGCCAATATAAATTGCTCCAAAGAAAGTGCCCAGTTTCCTTGTTTGTTTGTTTTTCTCCCCCCCCCCCCATCTAACTGCTCCAGGGAGAAAGTGAAGCATTCCGTTCTTTCTGGCCTAGCGAATTCAGCAGTGAGAGTCATACATCTGGGTTGCGTGTCCCGGCCGCCCAGGGGATGGAGATGTCACTGTGATTTACTGTCTTAAATAGATGATGAGAGAGAGAGAGAGAGAGAGAGAGAGAGAGAGAGAGAGAGAGAGAGAGAGAGAAATAGATGGTGCTTCTCAAATCTGGAATCTTTTTAGAGGTGTACATTTATAATTACTTATGACAGAAAAATAGAATCTTGCCCGTCAGGAGGGCACCTTGCTGTGAGGGAACAACTAATCCATTATGTCAGTGTCCTAAATAAGCCACGGGAGTCGGGGGCACGGTCCTTGGGCACAGACACCCAAGACAGATAGCAGTGCGACGTGGAGGGCAGGGCGTCTCACAGTCCTGTGGAAGCCGTGTTCTGACAGCGGGAACTCCACTGTGTTGAGGTAAGCAGACCCTCCATGAGAGCAGATTAACAAATTAAACTCAGAAGACTGCACAAATGTGCGGCTGCCCCTCTCCCTGCTCCCTTCCGCTTTTCTCGGCTTCTGCTCCCCGCAGGTACTTGAGGTTTGCAGTTAATTAATCCCACCACCGACTAGTGTGTCCTGTCTACTCACCTTTGCCTTTTCTGCTGGGCTCCAGTGCGTCACAGTTAATTAACGCCACCAACAGTTACTGCATCCTACAACACCTCTCCCAATGGCAGCCCAAAAACTGAATTATGTAGGAGTCAGTGTGACAAAGGAAGTGAAGACCTCTACATTGAAAACTACAGTACTGGGCCGGTGAGATAGCACAGCAGACTGAGTGCCTGCTTAGGCAACCACAGGGACCAGCATTTGATCCCTGGCACCACCTACCAAGCCGGCCCCATCCGCAGCACACTGAGCCGGCAACTGAGTCTGGGCATGGTGGTGCACACCTGTAATCCCCTACCTGTGGAGGCCGAAAACAGGAGGATCGCCACGAGTCTGAGCTGCATAGTGAAACCCTGCACCAAATATGTTTAAAAAAATAAAACTAGTACTCTGAAAAAGAAGATCAAAAAGGGTGCTAGAAAATAAAAAGCCCTTGGTTTTTTGTTTTGTTTTGTTTTTTTTTTCTTTTCCAGTACCAGGGATTGAACTCCAGACCTTGTATTTGCCAGGGAAACGCTTATTCTACTGAGCCATCTCCCCGGCTCAAAAACCCTTGTTCTTGGATAGGGAGAACCAATATAGTGAAAATGGGCATATTTCTAAAACTATGGCCAGGGCTGGTGAGATGGCTCAGTGGTCTAAAGCACCTACTTAGAACAAGCTTAGCAAAGCACAGGGACCACGGTTCAATCCCCCAGCACCACATGCCAGCCAGCCCCGCCCCCTGGTGGGCTGAGCTGGACACACACACACACACATACACACACAAATAAATGAATAAAATTTAAAAAATAAAAAAATAAAACTATGGCCACTTACACTAAAATTTATTATTACAGATTTAATGCTATGCTGATCAAAATTCTACTAGCGTATCTCACAGAATTAAAGAAAACAATCCTAAAATGTATGTGGAACAAGAAGGGACCTAGACTAGCAAAAGCAATTATGAAGAAGAAGGAAAAAAGCAGTTCTGAACAACAGGCGCAGTAAGGGGCATCACGACCTCTGACCTAAAATCACACTGCAGGCGACTAGGATAGACACGATGGTGTTGGGAGAAGACACCGCAGACCTGGGATGATGGAGCAGGTCGGGAGACCCAGAACAGCTCCAGACATCCTGAACCCCTTCTGTTTGACAAAGGAGCCCAATACACTCACAATAAGACAGCCTCTGTAGTAGGTGGTGCTGGGAAAACTGGCTCACCACATGCCGAAGATTAAAACTAGACCCGTATCTTTTACCATGACTAAAATCAAAATGGATCAAAGATCTAAGTATTAAAATGGAAATACTAAATCTGCTGGAAGATAGAATAGATAGAACTTTTGAAGGCCCGGATGTAGGCAAAGACTTTATGAATAAAACCCGGTCACACAGAAACTGTCACAAAGAATCAACAAGTGGATCTCATCTTAGTAAAAAGCTTTCGTACCACAAAAGAAACCACCAACAGAGTGAAAAGACAACCCACAATGTGGGAAAAAATTTTGCCAGCTGTTCTTCAAATAAAGGCCTAATATCTAGGATATATAAAGAACTCAAAAAATCAGACTCCCAAATCTAAAGATCCAATCCAAAAATTAGCCTCTAAAACAAATAAGATACTTGTCAGATGAAGAAATACAGATGGCAAATAAATATATGAAAAAAAAGTGTTCATGGGGGCCTGCTAAGTGCCTGCTGAAGCAAAGCAGTCAGGCGCGGGATGCTGTGGTTCGATCCCCTCATCCTCAAGCCAAACCAGACCTGCCCTGAAGGCAACCTGAGTGGCCAAAAAAAAAAAAAGTGTTCAACATCACTGGTCATTTGAGAGATACAAATTAAAATAACACTGAGACTCTGTCTCACCCCAGAAAGAATGGCGATTATCAAGAAATCATCCAGTAACAAATGCTAGAGGGGCAGAAGGAAAAAAGGAACGCTTCTCCACTGCTGGTGGGAGCTCAGACTGGGCAGCCACTGTGGAGTCAGAGTGGGGATTCCTCAGAATGCTAGGATCAGGGCCCCATTCAACCCAGCCATCCCCTTCCTGGGCATCTTCCCCAAAGACCTGAAAATGTCACCCACACAGTGATATATGGACACCCATGTTTACAGCAACACGGTCTGTAGCAACTAAATCTTGGCAACAGCCCAGATACGCCTCAAGCAAGGAATTGATGTCATGGTTTGTGCCTAGATGTTCCCCCAAAGCCTCCTACAGTCATAGGATTGTCTCAGAGCTGGCTAAACCTAGAGTCTGTGATAGATTCATGGTGGGGTGCTGGGATTAACTGTGGGTGCTTGCTGGATGAGTCCACTGCGTGGGATGATACAGTAGAAGGGACAGAGAGAGGCGTGCTCGATCTCTCTCCCTCTCCCCCTCCCCCTTCCCCTCCCTCCTTCCCCCCTTCTGCTGTTGCTTTTGCTGTCCTCTCGCCATCAGCTGTTGCCCCTCTGCCATGCGCCACCCTTCCCTGGAGCCATCCAGTTATGGACTGAAACCTCACAAACTATGAGCTACATAAACCTTTCCTCTTTTCATTCTCAGTGTTAGGTACCTTGTCTCAGCAGTGAGGGAAAAACAACTAAAACAATGGATAAAGAAGAGGTAGATTCTTCAAATGCTGTGGAATACTACTCTGCCATAAAGAAGGATAAGTTTGAAACACTTCTAGGCAAATGGACGCACCTTGAGAACATACTTGCAACTGAAATAAATTTGAGAGTTATGTCTAAATATCACCTCGTGGTGTGAGAAGAAGTGTAAATAAGGAGCAAAATGTATGATAGGTGTTGGGACATGGGAAGAAAACATTTAAATGTGAAGGGGAACAGGGAGGGGAGGAAGGGACAAGAAAAAAAGGAATAGAAGAAAAGTGGAAACCAAGCAACAAGGGAAGGGAGGGGAAAGGGGGAAACAGCTAGGAATACCATGCCCAGGTGCAGTGTCCTCACTGTACACATCTACAATGTATCCATAAAATAGAAAAGAAAAAAAGCTACTGTTTCCTATGTGCTTTGTTTTTATGTGGTTTTAGCTGGT